TATATATGAAGAATCAAAGTATCTGCAGCTGTCCACATCCACAAAAGGCAAATAATTGGCAAGTTGTTTTACTGGCATTGTTCCCAGATAATGTTATTGAAAAAAAATAAATGGGTGAATGAATGAATGAATGAATGCATGAATGGCATAGCCTCAATGGTTATGAACTCTCCTGCAGTCTTACATGCTGGGAATAAGCCTCTGCAAACCAAACTCTCTCACTTCATTGTGTATTCCTCCTTTGAGAGCTTGATACTTCGGCTGCCACCACACTGTGTCCATGTCATTCCATTCCTAGAAGACTTTGCTAATGCAGTTAGTGATATTTAAAGCACTCTGACAGGAATGTCATAACCACACTGCTTTCCTCCAAGGCAGAAGATAAGAAAATTTGACAGATAAGGAAGCAGTATGTGTGGTGTAGTGATGAGAGAGCCATAGCTCACCAACTCCAAGAAGGGTTCCTTGCTGGTTCTTGTGATCTGTGGGATACATATGCCACTCTGCAGTGCTCCTATTGCCTGTGCCCCATGGATCTCATGAATATAGTAAACATCATGTGCCTAAGGTCAGGGAGAACTCGCTCAGGCTTTCTTTGCATTAGTTATTTCCCACCATAAATATATTTAGGCAACAGACGCTGTGGTTTGGGCAAAATGTGATACTGTTGTGTATATCAACACCCACAGGAGATAATTTCTGTCCTCTGGTGTTTGGATAACATTTTTACAAGAGAAGATAGTCATGTATCAGTGTGGTTTGTCCAGTCAGGTATAAAATCTACTATCTACTGTAGCAACAAAGCACAGAAAATGTTTTTCTTTTCTGTATCTACAAATACCTAACAAACTAGAATGAATGCTAATATAAAAAGCAAGGTGATATTAGGACTGAAAACCTTTTCACTCCTTCCTTGATTCTTATCCAGCACTAACACTTAATTTGAGGAAGTTCCTCGGTTCCATGGTGTTTTATGTCGTTCTATTACAGTCTGTTTATATCAAAAGGAAAAAGTTTGACAAGAACAAAAATGTGGCAGACATAAAAAGTGGATTGATGCACCCCTAAATGTCACACCATGTCAAAAACAAAACCACAAGGGGATACAAATAGTGAATAATTCTGTTTGTGTAATATTTTAAGCTGTAACTCAAATTGTTGATTAAATATGGCTAGAAAATGGAAATTCGGGCCTGGAAAGATGGCTCAGAGGTTAAGAACACTGGCTGTTTTTGCAGAAGACCAGGGTTCGAATCCCAGCATGCACATGGCAGCTAACAACTATCCATAGTTCCAGTTCCAGGGGATCCAACAGCCTCTTTTGTCCTCCACAGGCATTGCACAACACAGGTGCACTTTCCTGCATGCAGGCAATACACACATACACATTAAAAAATAAAAATAATAAATAAAATTTTTAAAAAAGAAAATAGAAATTCACTTATTGGTGCAAAGAATGGAGAAATGTTCATTTCTTTTCCACTTGCAAGGAAATCAGATTGTCTGTCTTTTCCCTTTGAGAGCCAAAATGCTAGTCTCCTTAACATCCCTTCCCAGCATTGTTCATTTCTGTGTTGGGGTGATATTATTTGCCACCATTCTTATCAGCCTTTTCTGCACATTTGGTTTCTTTTCTACCACAAAAATCCAGTGAACAGTTGAGGTGCTGAGGCTGAGCTACTTGCCTCTGAGTTCTGGCTGAACAGAGCAGTCAGACAGAGCCTTTGGCCTCCATCTGCTGGTGGCTGGTGTCACAGCAGCTGCACTGTCAACTGAAGGAGATTCACTAAAAATGTTTGTTTAAATGACTTAGCAAAAGAAACACAATACTATGTATATCTTGGGATAGTAAAATATGATACAGTTCATAGACATATGGAAAATAAAGATCATTTATAAGCTAATGATTCTGTTTGTAGAGAATGAATTTATAATTACCTTTGGCAAAGTTGGAGAGATGGTTCAGTGGATAGGAAAGCTTTCTGCTCTTACAGAGGACCCCAGTTTGGTTCCCAGAACCCGTCAGTCAGCTCACATCCACATGTAACTCCAGCATTGGATCCCCTGGAACTGGAGCTGTGAACCCCTGGACATGGGTGCTGGGAATTGAACTCTGGTCCTCAGGAAGAACAACAAGCACGCTTAACCAAAAAACTGTATCTCCAGCCCCAATAAATCAAATCTTAAAAAATAAAATTACCTTTGACAACACCATCAATATGGCATATAAATATATATTCTATAAAGAAGTAATATTAATTCACTAAAGGAAAAACTAGTTACTAATAACATGTGGTTCTCAGAACATATGTGCATAGGATTTGTGTGAAAAGAGCGTCTCATGAAATAGCAATGTCAACTTTTTGTCATCTAAAGTTGTGTGTGTGTGCGCGCATGCGTGCATGCATGTGTTTGTATATATGCATTGTTTCCCATTCTGTATATAGAGTCCATGTTGGTCAAAGCTGTTGTAACCATTGGGATGGTCATACGTGTGACTTTTTTCCAGATAGCGGAAAGCATAAATTACAGAATTATGACTATACACATTTGAGCCTATGGCTCACTGCATGCACACTGTCTTCGTGACTGTGTCAGTGTGGAAGAAAGCTGGATGACCTGGTAAAGCAGAGTCCTTCCTTCCTTTCTACCTTTTGTTCCTCTTCCCTCCCTCCTTCCCTCCCTCTCTTCCTCCCTCCCTTCATTCTTCCCTCTCTTTCCTTTTTCCATCCCAGGGCTTGAACCCAGGGCCTCATCCAGAAGTACTGTGTCCCCAAATTGTTAATTTCTCCATCAATAAATCTGTGAGCAATTGTTCCTTATTCTTCTTGGGGCTAGGATGTCCTCCTAATTTATATTCTAATTATACTTCTCTTGAAAACAGTGACAGTAACATCCATAAAAAGATCATGGTTTACTTAAAATGAGAGTTGTGATTTTAATAAAATTTTAATTAAATTTTTGTTGTTGGAATTTTCAGTCTTTCACTAAAATATAAACCTTCATGTGGCTGTTAACCCACTGCAGTGCTTACCAGCATTTATAATTCATTTTAATCATGTATCTGCTACAATTCACACAAAGGAATTACCTTTCTGAAACCATGCACTTTAATATCAGGGTAGGAAAAAATAAATAGAGAGTAGTGGCTGTTTTGCATAAGTGTACACTTTCTGTGAAGAACCAGATTTTTATAAGATTCTGATATGAGAGATACAAATTTCAGTGAATGTTAGTGATGTTTGATCATGTAACAAATGACATAGCTATTTTTCATCCCCTAAATAAAACATGACACTGTAGAAAAATGTCTTCCATAGGTCATTTTAATGTATCTATTGTCTGTGAATATGAGGCAGAAGAAGGTTCTTGGAAAATGCCTTGTGGTGAGGGCAGGTGTGTAGTGCGCATTCCCATCTCTCACCTGACGCCCACTGAGAGCTTCTTTCCCCACTGAGAACTTCTCTCCGCTGCCTTTCAGAGTTCAGAGTTGGAGAGTTAATACTTTCAAGATTCCGGCTTTCTTGTTTAATGCAATGAGTAGTGCAGAATTTATTCAGTGAAGAAAAACATTGACTGATGCTAATCACATCAGAAAGCCTGATCAATTTTTGTAAGGTGTGTCCTGGGTAGGCTATATAAAATCAGTCTAACATTCTTCAAAATTCTTTTTTATTTGACCATCTCAAATCAGGTCTCCCATGCTGATATTATCAGAATCCTATTAAAATGTTAGAGTAAAAATTGCTCAAACCAATATGTTCAAATTTCAAACCTCTTTTGCTTATGTGAGTTTTTGAGACAGGGTTTCCCTGTAGCCCCAGCTGGCCTGGAACTTGTTGCCCTGTATCTCAAAGATCCCTCTGCCTCTGCCTCCTGAGTGCTGGGATTAAAGGCATGTACCACCATGCCCAGCTGAAATTTCAAATTTGTTACTGTACTTTCTAATTTCAACATCACAAATTTGAAATACTACTGAAAACTTTTTCAATTTTCCTCTCCTAGTAAAGATTCCAAGTCTGATTTTCACATTTTGCTAGCCAGCAGATGACTCCATGAGTATTTGGATATTGTTAATGCATATTGGCTTAAAAAATATTTCCCCCATCCTCTAACATTCTTTAGGAAGCCCTTCCCCCATTCCTTTTCCCTGAAAGTGAGTCAGCTTCTGAAACCTTTTCCACAAAGACTTGAAGAGTTATACTGATGCCATCATTCCGAACTCTGAATGCATGGTGGGGATGCTGTACTTCTGTGGCTTTCCTCCATGACCCAGGCCTAGTGCCCAGGTCCCTTCAGTCTTGTAACTCTGGTGCCCCCTAAAGCTTCATCCATTGTCATCTGCTTTCATCCAACCAGAAAGCAAGAGCCTGGGGCCGGAAGCCCCTCTCTTAAGAACAGTGTCTGAAGAATGGTGAGTCCATCTGCCATTCCTGACTGCAGGGAAAGCCAAGGGAGGCAGAATCTGGATTTGAAGAGTGGGCTCTGATCAGAAGGCAGCTCCTGCTGCTCCTGAATCCTGGGACTCGGCACATGGCAAAGGAGGCACTCAGTTCTGATGGGCCTCAACAAAGAGGAAGAATGGCAGGCAGGGTGAAGGCGCAGACGAGGCGCTTGGAGACACAGACATGGTGACTCCTTTCTGCTTTACAGGTGCCACCAGGAACTGAAGCCGATGTGGGAACCTCAGTGTCAGTCGAAGGGGGGGCAGTGGAAGAAGCAGAGGCAGAGAAGGCAGCCCTCCCTGCTGCAGAAGGAGAAAGTCTAGAGGAGGCCAAAGTGGATACCGAAGGCACTGAAGTTGCAGACAGTGGGAGTCCACAGCCAGCAGAGACTGAGGCAGCTGCACCTCAGGTAAGTGTTTCTTCTTCAGGGACTTCTGAGGAGGCTCCGGCTAGCCGGCTCTGCCTGCTCCTACTGTGGGAGCTCTTTGTAGTGGAATAGGTTTACAGCCATCTTGTGACTCTCTAAATGTGTAAAATGATTTTCGGTGGGCGTTCCCAGCACCCAGTCACTATCAGCACTGTGCTATTCCTCATGGAATCAGCTTCCTATGCCAAAGGTTGGCACAGCCTAAGCACAGAAGAGGAAAAAGGAAACTCCACTAAAGTGAGGGAGGAAAGGAACGAAGCACAGAGGATGAGAAAGATGGTATTGGAGGGAGGGAGGAAAGCATGATAGACTGACAGAGCTGCTGAAGGAGTGAGCAGTGAACCTCTAAAGGTGCCAAGCCCCCGTGGGGCTCAGTATTAGTACTGATACCAAATTACCGGTATTTCTGTTTTATGTTTGCAATTATTAGAGTGTCCCAGATTCACCACCAGGCTTCTTTGACCAAGAACCAATCCTACTTCAAAGGCAATTGTCTGTTGAGTGCACACATGAAGTTAGAGCTGGCCTTAGCTCCAATTTGTTCCCCAGGAGTGATCAGGGGCAGTACATTCCATTTTCTGTGACGTGCAGTAACGGTAGCAACAAAGTAGTATCAAAGTGTGATTCCTACCCCGTCAGGACACAGCCTCTTCCCCTTCAGCCTCCCACCAGCCTGAATTTCCCACAGAAACCTCCCATTTACCAAGTAGTGTAGGATTCAGATGTGAAGCCCACCGAGGGTTTTGTGGGCTTCAAAGAGGAGAGACCGTGAGGAGGCCAGGGACAGCGTGCAAGACACAGGCCTAGTTTGCATGGTCAGTGGGTATAGGAAGGCTAGTGGCTAGGGGTAGAAACCAGCTTGGAGCAAGCACACTTCTTGTTTCCCAGGCCCTGATTGACACCACCTTCTTTACCCACCAGGAGAAGGTCATCCCTTCTGTGGTCATTGAGCCGGCCTCCAACAATGAAGGGGAGGGAGAACACCACGAAACCACTGTGGGTGCCGAGGTGAAGGAGGCCACTGAGGACGTGGCTCCTCCGGGCCCTGCGGGTGAGACGCAGGAGACGGCTGCAGAGCCGACGCCCTTGGACTCTCAGGCTGCGACCCCTGTGCCAGTGGCTGCTGTGGATCCCTCAGCATCGGCAGGAGATGCAGCTCAGGAAGTGCCTCCTGGATTTCTCTACAAGGTCTTCCTATTGTAACCTCGGGGTTATTGCCCTTTCTGAGTTTCCTTTTCTCTAGTCTTCGGTTTTCGAAATGTCTTACTTTCTATGCTGCATATTCTTTCTTGAATCTGCTTCCCCTTTAACCCGAACTCATCTTGGAAAATGGCTGTAGGGCAAGCAAGAACTAGAGTGATACCTCCCAGGTCTCACAAGGAATAATTAAAAGGCAGATGGTCTGCCTCTGGATAGTGAGCTTGCTAATGCCCTGCAGCCTCCTTCAGTGCAGAGCCTGTCCAGCCTGGCTCAGACCAGGCCTTTAGGTCACCTGTTCACCAGTATATTCTTCAAGGTCAAACAGGCAGAAGACAGAGCCATGCAGGCCCAATACAGAGTCAACAAATAGTTCCAAAATTGACTGAAGACACTATGGTCTCTGAAAAGGAAGAAACACACAAGCCTTGATGTGGGAAGATGGTTTTCCCAGAGAGGATCCCTAATGAATCAAAGCCTCTTTGCCCACAAAATGAAACAATAGTAATTGCCTAGAAACACCACTTAATACCCAATGTTAGAGGCAGATAACGCTCCCCAATAGAATTTGATTACGAATTTTACATTTTATATAATTTAATTTTATACTTCAAAATTCAGCCTCCTTTTTTGCTGAATTTTTTTCGCTGCTTCGTTGTTTTTCCATAGTAGATGGCTCTCAGCTTTGCACATGCTAAGCAAGCACTCTGCCACCTATCTATGTCTTTGTGTGTGTTCATAAGAATGGGATTGAATATTGCTAGTGATTCTCTCCCTCCAGAAGGTAACTGACTCTTTGCTACTTTAAGTGGGTGTGAGTGTAACAGATTTATGGATGAATTAATGTGGGGCGGTAGGGATTGAACCTGTAGGTTAGGGAGAGTGTTAGGAACCTGGTTGTGATTGTTTATTTAGCACTGGTAAAGTCAAGGAAGCTTCGTTCCAGGCATAGCCAGGCCTTGAAGGGTCCATCCCTAGCTTGCTCACTCACCACGGTGTGACCTAAGGGCACCACTCAGTTCTTCTCTGGGCATCTGAGTTCTCATGGCAGAAATCCATTTTGGGATAGTGGGTATTTATTTACAGAGCTGATATTTTATGAGCCTGCATGTGAAATACGTATTTTAAAAGCAGCCTGTTTAATCTTCAGTGTGTAGGTGTTTGCAAGGTAACAACATGGGAGAAATAAAACAGCTGGGACTGTGTAGCTCTTCATGCTGAGAGCACTCTGGGTGCTTACTGTGTTGTCCTTTCCACATTTTCTATAACATAAATTTAAAGAAATCTTTTTTAAAAGGGAAAAGGGATAACAGGCTACCATCATATAAAGGGTAGGTTAAAAAGGGGTGGAAATTAAAACAAAAAAAAAACAAAAAATAATTGTCATTAGGCTGGAGAGACCACTCAGAGGTTAAGAGCACTGAGTACTCTTGCAGATGAGCTGGGTTCTATTCCAGGCACCCACATGACAGCTAACCACCATTCATAACCAGTTCCAGAGAATCTGGTGCCCTCCTCTGACCTCTGCTGGCATTACACGGCACAGGTGCATTTACATACATCCAAGAACATAAAATAAAAATAATAAATAAAATATTAAGAAAAACTATTGTCATAAAGTTTAATTAAATAGTAATCTCATATAACACGCA